TGATATATTTTGGTTGAATATTTGGTTGTTGAATATTTGGTTGTTGAATATTTAGTTGTGGAATTGATTTCGACAAACAGGTGTTCTATTTTATTTATGTTGTAAAATTGTTGTTTCTGTACAGTAAAACGTATTTTCATAATACGTTTTAGCTTTTATTTTTTTAATTGAAAACGTATTGTCAGAATAGTTTTCTGAAGGAAACCGTATTCTGAAAATACGTTTTCAATTAAAAAAAAAATTCAAAAATTTTACTAATTTTTTATAATTTATAGTATATAAAATTTATTTAAAAAAAACGTATATTTAAAATACGTTTTTGTATTTAAAGCGTTTTTCGAAAATACGTTTCTTATAAAACGTATTATGAAAATACATTTTATTTTAATTTAATTTTCTTAATCGCAATTTAATTAAGTTAATTCGTTATAAAACGTAACATGAGAATACGTTTTACTTTAGAAACGTATTTTTAGAATACGTTTTACAATTTAAAACGTATTATGAGAATACGTTTGTTTTATTTTGGTCGACAACCTTTTTTTTTATTTTTGTCCAGTTATTTTTTTTATTTAAATAATAAAATCTAATTAAATGACCAATTAAGTAAAAGTTGTGTATTTTCCAGGCCTAAAATTATTAACTAAGAATTAATTAATTGAGTTTATCTATATATATAAAAAAGGGTTGATGGAAAAATCCGAAATAGAAACTTTAAATAATTGTGTTGACTTTTTGACTTTCTATTTATGGAGTCTCATTGCAAAACTTGGTTTTCTTTTTTTTTTCACGCGTTTATTATTTTTTTTCTGTAAAATCATGGCTTAATTTACGGGAACAACTTTCCATAGATTTTGTTAAAAAAAAAAAAAGATTGGATAAACATTTTGGGATAAGCTATTTTGTGAAAGTCCGTAAAAAAAAAAAGATTGGATAAGCATTTTGTGATAAGCATTTGCCTTATCTAAATTATTTAAACAACTTACCATTGATTTCGTGATAAGAATTTTATTTAAACCATTAATCTCATTCCTTTATTATCGTAACTACTTTTGTGATAAAATCCGATAACCTTGTGCCTTATCTAATATCTCTACGCACGTTTAACATGTAGAAAAACTCTATATAAAAGGTACAGACTGAGATTATTTTTTTTCACCTCCTCAACACGCGTAGGAAAATAAAAATTACAAAATACAAAAATTATTTTATGGCACCATTCAAAGGTACAGTAGACCTCGTGAGTCGATCCAATAAACCGTTTTTGAAGTTGAGAGTAGTTCTACTGCTGGAAACTCATGACGATCCGGAGCATCCAAACGCTTTTCATATCCTCTTTCATGATGAAGGGGTAATTATTTTCAAATGTTTTATCATTAACATTATTTTCATTGTTTGTATTATTTATTATTTTCGAAACTGATTTTACATTTTTTTTTGTATTATTTATTATTTCAAATATGTAGGGTTCATACATGAAAGGAATAGTACGTTAGCAGCATATGAGCATATTTCGAGATCGCCTTATACAAGGCGAGATGTATTTTATTCGCAACTACGATGTTGAATATAATAGTGGGAGGAATAATATAATAACTCATTGTTGGAAGATTATCCTTCATGGAAGGACATATTTTATCAAATACAATGGGAATTTTCCTCAATACTAGCAATGAACGAGATATGGTTGCTGCCTGAATTTCTTAGGTTTTTATTATATATACTTTGATGATTTGGTCATATTTATTGCGAAATGGATGTGTACTACATTTTATCGTGAATAAATTTTTATTAGTAAACTCCTCTTTCGATTTTGTACTTACATACAGTTCTTTTATTTTTTGTTTGTTTTATTTGTTCTACATGATTTATTTTCGTATATTCGTTTTGTTGTTCATTTTATTTGTGTTCTTTCAAATTCTAATAACTTACAATTTCATATTACTGAATTTATTTTATTTTATAATTTTATTCGATTAAATCATTGCATGCTTGAAAAAATTTTAATCACCTTTTTTTGTATATATAAATATATAAGTATCTAAAAACATTATTAAAATTTAAATTGCAATATATAATATGCTGTTGTTCCTATTAACAAAAAAGGGAAATTTTTAAATACATTTTGGTTGGAATTACTTAACAATTGATTATCAAAAATATATTACAAAATTGGACGATATAAATTAGCTTACTATATAAATTAGAACAAAAACTAACATAAAAAATTAATAAGTGTAAATAAAATATCATCATGAGCTATTATTAAAATTTAAATATTTAAATTAGTTTATCATTGAATAAGTTAATGTTTGCAATATTAGGTACATATTTCGAATTGCCCATTGCTGATATAAAAACAATAAAAAAATAATTATGTACAAATCGGATACGATCAACATAACTCTATAATAAATGCAATTAACAAGAACTCTTAATTGGATAATTATGTGAAGATCTTTTTTATCCCTAATTAAAACTAATTAGGATTATATGGAATAAAAGATTTGTTGTTATCCTGTAGAACAAACTATTAGATAACTAGCATGTGATAAATAATTTCACACGGTTAGATAACTATTAAACATAAATAATCATAACAAACTTTTATACAAATTTTTCCATAATACATAAATAACGATTTTTTAAATATATATATATATATACACCAAATCTGTAAAATTTTAGGAAAAAAAAGACCTTATGTGTGTATGTTTTTAGGCACGTCTAATATGTTCCAATAATATCACATGCGCCGCTTAATTTAAATAATTTAAATATTTTGTTACCAATCTACAATTTCTGTGTAAAAAATTAAAAATTTCAATGCATTCGTATCCTTTATTTTTTATTTAAATTAGTTTATTATTAAATAAGTTAATGTTTGCAATATTAGGAATATTTTCGAATTGCCCATTGCTGATATAAAAAAAAAAAAAATTATGTACTAATCGGATACGATCAACATAACTCTATAACAAATGCAATTAACAACAACTCTTAATTGGATAATTAAGTGAAGATCTTATTTATCTCTACTTAAAACTAATTAGTATTATATGGAATAAAAGATTTGTTGTTATCCTTTAGAACGAACTATTAGATAACTTATCAAGTAATAAATTAATTTAGGCACGTTCAATATGTTCCGATAATTCTGTTATATACATAGAGATATCTATATCTATATCTATATAAAAAAGATTGTTGTTAAATTCATTTTTAGAAACTTTGACCAAATAAATAAATCAGTTGACTTTCTATGTTTAGACTATTTAAAACAATGGGTAAGAACCATAATAAATCGAAAGATAAGGCTTTTTAAATTTTCAAAGATAAGGGTAAGAACCATAATAATCAAACTTCAAAACAAATTAATTAAAAAATTGATATTTGAGCCAATTCAACAATTGATAGAAACTGTAATAGAAAATTAAATATTTTAGGACCACATTAGAATTGCATTTATGAAAATTCCACACCAATCTTATCATAAAGTTTCCACATTAATAAAACTTCTAAACAAATAAACCAATAATTTATAATATAGTTCATGTGCACTTATATTATCATAATTTAAACAAGATGTGTGCATTAC